AGTAAATATGAATGTTTTCATTCCAATGAGCACTAAGATGTTTATACATGAACTTCTTTGTTGTTTCCTTTTTCTGTGGATCACTGGACTATTAGATAGCTAGAGAGGTAGCTAGAGAAACTGACATTCAGATAGATAGATAGATAGATAGATAGATAGATAGATAGATAGATAGATAGATAGATATGGATGGATGGATGGATAAGAGAGAAAGGAAAGACAGACACAGACAGACAATCTAAAGAGAGAGAGTCATAGACAAAACAAAGGAATTCATGTCAAAAGATCTTAGTGCCCTTTGGAATAAAAATATTCATACTTACTAACTCCTACAGTGTGGCATTCCTTTCACTCATGTCATGACCTCTCATGGGACAGGAAAGCTCCCAAGATCTCTGTCTGTCTCCTTCTGTCTCTGCCTCTCTATCTCTGTCTCTCTGTCTCTCTTTGTCTCTCTCTCTCTCCCTCTCTCTCTCTCTCTCTCTCTCTCTCTCTCTCTCTCTCTCTCTCTCTCTCTCTCTCATAATAATTTCCACTCCCTTCTCATAATCTTTTCACAACCTAATATACTCATCCAGTTTGCTTGCCTTTCTACTGCAGTCTACAACCTTTTCTTGGTACTCTTCCCACTGGTTCAGGGATTAGATTCTTTGTGAACCCAAATATGATACTAATTTGCTATATACAGTGATGTCTTCTCATATCCAAAACGTGTCCCAAAGTGCAGTGGTCTAAGTAACATATCTAGGGGGAAATCTTCAAAGAGTAATCAATTAATCAATCCATCAGAGACTGTAAAAAATATTTTAGCATTGCAATAAATATGGCAGTAAACTAACTGAAAATGGAAAGAAACCTTAGGTGATCTATAATTACATAATGTATGCTTCAACATCATTTATCACTTTTCACAAGCCAGTTCATTAAAGCATTTGATATCCAGGAGATAAAAACAAATAGGTTTATAATCAATGTTTAATAACAAATATAACATTAAAATTCAGTACATTTTAATGTGGGGCAGAGGTCCCACATTTTTTTTTGTTGCTTCTGAACCAACTTATCTTATACCATATTAATTCCCCAAATAGTGTTCATATTAACCTAAAGATTTCCACTAGATTTGTTCAACATGACTTCTGTACTCCATGTTACCAGAACTTCTTTATCAGACTCTTTGCCTCAAGTTCAGAACTCATTATCCATTTCCTACTGATCTCTAGGATTGATGCACTGAACTGGGAAACGCAATAGCCATCATTTACATGCTGGGTGCTTCTCTCACACCAAGCTTCTGAGGTGCTCACTTGCTTCACTCTTTGCAGCTATTATATGTTTAAGGAACCGCAAAGGAAAAGCAGACCTAAAAAGCTATGTGTGGATCATGTTTTCACTAGTCATACCAAATAACAGTTGTTGTCCCTTGTTATTGTTCCTTATTTTCTCTCCACTTCTGAAAGAATTAAGGCTCAAAAAACATCCATATATCTAAGACAGTTTACGTTGGCCCTAAACAGACACAGCAAAAGCTTTAAAGTCATCCAACAATAGAAAAAGTCTCCCTCATTTTAAGATGAGTATAATAAGTGAATCAGGAAAATTTACAGTCAGAATCTCATTTATGTGCAGGATAGCCAAGTCAACTCAATTAATTTTTTTTCATAAAAAAGAGGAAAATACTCTTAGGAAAAAGATAAAGCTATAAAGTCATGTTTTGCTTAGGAGTCATCTTCTTAAAGGCTTAATAAGAATGATTTTAGGTATATTTTTAAAAGCATCTGATTGTATAGGGCTGCCTTTAAATGGAAGCAGTAAGTAAAGCCTCAACTAATTGTCTTGATTACATTTTCATATATTAAAGACAACCAGCTATGTAATTATAGTTTGAGATTCTGCTTGCTTAGACATAATTTGTCACCTTTCACAAGTCAGTTTTTTAAAAAAGCTTTTTCTTTAAATGGTTCACTTTCCTTATCATCACATTTAATCAATTGTTATTAGCCAAAGGAGGAGAGGAAAAGGAATCACTGAAATAAGAACTGATTTACCAGCTAATTTGAATCAAGATGTGATCCCTAACAAAAAGATATCAGGAAGAATAATCTTTGAATTCTCAAAAATTTTCAACTTAGTTCTATTATGTTTTTCACTGGCAATTTAACTTTCTATCTTCAAAATAACTCCTGACAACATATAAATGAATCATGAGTTATATCTCCACCTACAATCCATTTCTGTATTCTCTGACTTTAAATTGAAAATAAACTAATTTTAAAATTGTGATTAATAGATTGAATTCCATTTTCCATATATAATTATGAAGCACATATGCTAATTTTAAAATGTTTAAAAATAAGAGCTTTTTCCAACACATACCAATTTCATACAATTAAGTGATCCAAAATACAATCTTCCTTGATGTCTAAGGCAAATCCTGAAGGAAAATCCCAAGGAATATGAAATTGGTTTCATTGTTTTGTAATGCCTTTTAACTAAAGATGTACCTGGTAAGCAAGACTTATAGCAGTTATCTTGAAGAATTATTCATAATCAAATATTACTGAAGCTTGTGAGTTTATGACAGTTCTATGAGAACTGAAGAATTTTCATACACTAACATATCTTGATAGCACACTATGCTTTTTGTTTTCTGCAGAGACTTTTAAAATTTTCAGTACTCATATAAAAACAATATCAGAACTGGAGATTTAAATGTATAAAATGCAATGTTGCCACTTCCTTCTAACAAATCAAAACTTCAAAAACTCATATGATATTCAAGGCTTCCATTATATAACCCTTCAACAAACAATGAAATGTTATTGATTTTCCATTTTAAAGCCTAGTCAATGCACCTCAGAATAAATAAGCAATAAAATAAATTAAAAGTAAATGAAACCATATGTTAAAAATCCTGAGATCACAAAGAGAACAGTTGGTAGACGTTTAAATTGGAATTAAAGTTAAATATTTATGTTGTTTCATTTGGCAAACTGGACATGTTCATTCTCAAAGGAGACAACACATTCCAAATGGTGGGTTCCATCCATTCTTCTCCCTAACCTCATTCATAAAGCAACCATTCAGTTACGCAACGGGATAACCCGTGTTTAATAAGCACTGGTTGATGTTTAAAGTTAATTGCTATGCATGCAAATAAGCAACTATTACACATTTTTATACTTAACAATTTAGGAAAAACCCATATGCATGTATACCTACATACCTGATCAGAAAGAGAAACATATGTAATGTTTTAAATACGGAATTACAAAGGACAATTGAATTGACACAAGGCATATGAATGATCTCAGGCACTCCAGAGTGTGCAAAATGAGTAGGTTGCCTGAGCAAAGCACATAAAAGACTGTCTCTCTGATTGACCAAGCCCTACTATGTTTGCAATTCCTACCTAGTATTTGTAGTGATTTCTGTGTGGAGAAAACAGATTTTCAGGAATGTGAAGATCTCTTTTATGTGCATTTCTGGGGCTCTTAAGTGGAATTCTGTATGAACTGATTACAGTTAAGAAATTGTTATACCTGCACCTGACTGAGCTTTCCTTTAAGTGCCTGCATTTGTATAGAGAGCACCAACTGAAAAAGCCAGAGACAAGCAGTTGGATTAATGCAAATGCATTATTGCTGTATTCTTCTGACTTTTGTTAGCTATGGTTTACATGCTAGACATGCACAATTGCTTTCCCTGCTGAGCTCAGGAAAATAATGAATACCCTGTAGACCCAACAAGACAAACAATTTTAGTTACAAGCACACCGTGCACAAATGATTCACACTCTGCCACAATGACTGAGCCACGGAGTAGGTAGCATTTCTGCCTGTGGAAGCTACAAACATTTCCTTTCTAAAGGTCGGCATAGTTTTGCACTCACAGAAAGAGGAGTTAGGAGGAAAACCTCTCTCTCTCTCTCTCTCTCTCTCTCTCTCTCTCTCTCTCTCTCTCTCTCTCTCTCTCTCTCTCTCTCTCTCCCCTCTCTCCCCTGCCCTCTCTCCTTCTCCTGTCTTCTTTCTCCTGTCTCCCTCCTAGCTCTTCTCCCGTGTCTCCCCTATTTACCCCCTTTCCCCTTTTTCCCTTCTCTTCATGCATAATACTGTTATAGACCAACCTGCATGGGTGCTTCGTGTCTCATTGTCAACAACGTGTCCTTCTTTTATCTCCGTCAAGTGATGTGCTAGCTCTATTTAAAACAGCTCTAGATTTAGCGGAGTGATCATGTATGCACAACACACCCGCTCTACACACTCTGAACATACACTCTGATGTTTGCTGACCGGCTTCAACATCAGCACCAGAGCTGTCCCTCCAGCCGCACACGCGTATTTACCAAGGACCCCGCTGTCCTCTGGGAGTTGTAGTACACTCGCTTTACTCCCGAAAGCTATTCAAAAATCAAACATGCTAAAAAGCGAACTACATCTCCCAGCAAACACTTAAACAGCTTCTTTCCTCTTGCTGGCCCAGGCCACTTGGCCTTTCTCTTCCTCCTCCCTCCTCTCTACTGCCTCCCTCGCTCCCTTTATCTCCCCCTCCCATTTCTTCTGAATACACAGGAGAAAATGCATCCATATCAACCAAGTCTAGAGATATTTCAATCCCATCATCTCCCCTCTAGAAAACACATTTCAGTTCCAGGTTGGGTATCTTACTTAGTATCAAGTCTCAGCACAAACCAAGTGTGCTCTCCATTTGGACACTTACTCCAAACACGAAAAGTTTGTACTTTTCCTTGGAGTGAGTGGAAAGGTTCACAGTTCTTAATTTCATACACAAATCTTTGGGAGAAAGAATATTAACTCCCACACAAACACCCTAAAGAAAAAGATCCTCACGCATACTTATGTAGAGCAGTAATCCACGTCCACAACAATACACATGAGCGGGAATGGGAGGGTTTTTCTTAACAACCATTTCAGCTAGAACCTCTTGAGTAAGTACCTTCCCCACCCCAACCCATCCGCTTTCAAGCCCCAAAGTCTTACCTTTCCGTAAAGCTCCATTCTAATCTGAGGTTGGGAGGTTCAAAAGTAACCCCACCTCTAGACTGAGAGCCGGGGTCTCAAGCAGGAAGCAGAATAGAAATTGAAAAGCAGAACACAATGGAGGGGGGGTGGAGGGGTATGATTGCGGTGTTTAGATGGATGACTTTTTCCACTGAAGAAGGCAGCAGTGGTATATTGAAGTGGCAGCTGCAAGAGAACTGACGGAGAGTCTCTTAGGAAGTACAGCATAAACGATAGCATTAGTACAACCCCCAGGCCCTCCCCCAGTCACCTTGTACGTTCATTAGCACACAGAGACATCGGCCACAGGCTTTGAGCTGATAGGGCAATAGACGATTTACCCAAAGCAAGGAACATAAATGAATGCATTAATCATCAGAGGCCAGAAGCACAGCCACAGAAATGCACAAAACAGAAACTGTTTTTTTAAAAATATAACTATTAAGTTATACTACCCTATCCTTAAAATAAAATTACCCTTCCCAGAATAAGAATCATACACCACCCAGCCTAGGCCAATTGTTCAAAAAGTGATTGTCAATTCCCCCCCAACCCCCCATTTATTTTAGTAAACTCAATTTTCTTTTTTTTCCCCCTCAGCTGACTAACAGATGGTTTATGAGTTCATATGCATCTACATGTATTAAATATCTATTTACTTACATGTAGTTCATAGACTCAAATTAGGCTCTTGGTTTTAGAGCTGGAAGGGATCTGAGAGATGATCTATTCCAACCACCACATTTTACAGGTGAGGAAACTGAGATACAAAAGGTGAAGTGATGTGCCCAAAGTTGCTCAGCTACTAAATGGCAGAGCCAGGGTTTGAACCCAGTTCCTCTTGATTCTAAATCCAGTACTCTTTCCCCAGTCTTAGAGACAGCGTTACAGCGTCACACAGAACAAATCACAAATCAATCTAACAGTGACCTCCTGGATAAGGTCAAATAAAGGGAGATTGGGCCATACTAAGAAAAGCATTATCTCATTTTTGTCTCAAGAGGATGCCTAGGAACAGTATAGCCTTGGGGGAGGAGGGGGACCATGTTACTCAGTCCTATAAAGGAATTGACCCATGGGATTTTTTAAGTCCGGTCACAGAATGTTCAGTTTCCCAGTCCTAACTCAAGGATTCTAGTAGCATTAGGTAAAGGTGACGCATAGATTATGCTTAATATTCTAAAGATACACATTAAACTATTCACTTCATAGTTTGAGTTTACATGATAGCTATAACAATTCCATCCTTCTGCAATTAAATTAGTGAGTAGCAATATAATTTAAAAATCAACATAAATATGATGCTTAATGCTCCCCAAATGAAAATTCCAGTTCTCGGGGTTTTCTATTAAAGTCAACATGAAGCAGGTCTTTGTAATACTCCTTTTTCTATAAGAGATGCATTTATTGTCTTGGGTAAACACATTGTGAATATCATTTACAGAAGAAATTTGCTATTTAAGAGCAAATTGTCTCTCCAGGTCACTTATGACATGCCTTTTTGTAGCATCTTGGCTCCCAGCATCCATTATGGAAAATGTTATTACATTTCTGAGCTGTCATCACTATCTTTTGTATCTCCCATTTCCAAGGATTATGTAGTGTTGAAGCATATATGAATTTTTTTTAGAATGACAAATGCTTAAGGATTTAGATTCCTCCAGTAATCTCTCTCTTCTTTAATCTACATTGCAAAATTTCTACGTGCCTCGGTTTTTAACAATGCCTTTTAATTTGAAAGAATAACAAATGAGAAATTGACTAAAAGGTCTGGACTAAAAGGCTTGAATCTCAAGTAGCTTCCTTGAATTCCTCTTTTATCTTCTTTAGCCTCGAATTGAACTGCCCCCTACTGGGCACTCAGATTGTCGGGAAGAAAGGAAAAGAAAGCATATGGCTTAAAGTCAGACACATATACTAGAGCACACCTGGTCTCCATTCTCTGAACAGATGAAGGTAGCTTAGGGCTGGTTATCTATTTAGATTCAGAAGAGAAACACTTTTATTGATTCCCTCTGGCTTTGCTTAGTGACCTTATCTCTAGATCAAAATATTTGATCATGGGCATTTTTCATGTCTGCAAATATCAGGATTTTGTCACGGATCAGGCTCTATGAGCTCAGTTGTAGTCACAGAGTGATAACCTATATTTAACTGGTCCTGTGCAAAGGATTAAAATGTTAGGAATTTTCAGGTGAGAAGATGACACATTTTCATGTCTTAACCAGGACTACTTTTATGCATTGTGGGTGTTTATTGAAAAAAAGAACACATCTTGACTTCTGTACTAAATTATCAACCTTTCCTTAAAGTTCTGGAAGCAGAAAGGGAGTGGGATGCCATAACAAAGTCAAAGACTCCTGACCATCAAGACCCAGAAATTTGACATTCTTTAGGTATAGGATATAGCCAAAGGAATAGGAATTAATGCAAGGAAACAGTAATCAGTACTTCACAAGTAGAGCAGACAAAACTATGAAATAGGTAGTCAGTTCAAGTCAGCAAGCATTTATTAAATACCTACTATGTTGCAGGCATTGCACTAATTGTTGGGGATATAAAGAAAGGCAAAAAATGTCTCCTATTCTCAAGGCTAATGGGGGAGACAACATGTAAATAACTGTGTACGTATGATATATGTGTGTGTATTATATTGTGTACATATATGTATATAATTATATATATAAACACATATATATGTATATAAAATTAGAGGTAGAGATGAAAAAGGGGAGAATCTCAGGCATGGGGGTATGACCAGTGAAAATACCCAGAGTTGGAAGATGGAGTGTTAGGTGCAAGGAATACCTAGAAGAACAGAGTTGCAGGATTATAGAGTACGTAGATGGGATTAAGATGCAAGAGACTAGAAAGGTAGAAAGAGACCAATTTTAAAAGCCAAAAAGAGAATTTTATAGTGACTCTTGGGAATGATATGGAATCAATGTAGTTTGTTGAGTAGGGGGTTAACATGGACAGTCCTGCATTTTAGAAGATCACTTTGACAGCTAAGGACAGACTGGAGTGTGGAAAGACTTCAGAGAGACATCAGACAAAGAGACCCAACCAGAAGGTTATTGAAAGAGTCCAGACTTAAGGTGATAAGGACCTGCACCAAGCAGGTGCTGGTGTCAGGAGAAAAGAAAAACATATACTAGAGACGTTTTGAAGGTTTTAGCAACTGTTTGGATATGAGGAATGAGATGCTGAGGAGTCAAGAATGACACCTAGATTCTGAGCCTATGTGACTAGGATGGTGGTGCCCTATTAATAAGGAAGTTAGGAAGAAGTAAAAGTTTAGAGAATAGGGGAAATATGAGTGCTCGGTACTGAGGAAATGTGGGAAATATAATGAGTACTGAGTAATGAGCTTGGATATGTTGAGTTCAAAGTGTCTACAGAATAGCTAGCTCAAGATTTTCATTGGCAGTAGTAGGACATGTGAAATTGGAGGTCAGGAGAGGGGTAAGGGCTGGCTAAAAAGATATGAAAGTCATTTCTATAGAGATGATGATTGCACTGGAGCTAATAAGATCATCAAGTAAAATGTTACAAAGGGAGAACAGAAGAAGACCCAGGACAGAGTTTTGGGGAACACTCATAGTTAGCAGCTATGACCTGGACGAAGTTCCAACAAAAGAGTTCAAGAAGGAGTGGTCAAACAAGGAGGATAGAACTGGGAGAGAACAGTGTCACCAAAACCTGGAGAATACCAAGAAGGTATTACAGGCTGCAGAGAGGTCAAGAAGGATGAGAAGTGAGCAAAGGCCATTAAATTACCAAGCCTGTCTCTGATATTGAACTGCTTTACCATTACCATCCAGCCCCTCTATTACACTAAGATATAAATAATTGACTTAATATTTTAGCTAATGGATTGCTTGGAATAGGGAGAATCTTGAGGACCACCTCAAAAAAAATTGCTATTTCTCTTTGACTTGTTAAATCTCCAACCAGCTTTTACTATGAGAAAATCTCTGAATATAACTCATGTCTGTTCCTAATCAGGTGTAGCATAATTATTGCATCCCACAAAAATTTGAAACCACAAAAATGATTCACAATAGCCCATAAACAATTTAGCCAAACGCACAAAGGGATGATTATGGTCCATAATTAGCACTACTCTCTTTCCTTTCTCTGTTGAGTCCTACTTTCCACAGAGTCCTTATGTTCTTCAAACATAACACCACAGTCTGGTATAAACTCCCTTTGGAATGGAAACAGACTTGGGGTTGCTACTGGGGCATCTCTCTGAAGGTTTACTGAACCCCACCTTCCACAGAAATGCATGTAGTCTCCCCACCCCCAGACTAAAAAACACTACCTTGTGGTTTTGAGTCCTTTCAGAGAATGTATCATGATGAGGTCAAGTCAAAGTCAGCCAGTCAATAAGCATTTATTAAACACCTACTGTTTTTGGCATTGGGTTAAGTTCTAGGGATACAAAAAAAAGGGCAAAAGACAGTTTCTGTTCTCAAGGAACTTGCAATCTAATAAAAACTCTGGGTGGCTTATTTTTGCTTTTTTTTCTGGTGCTTCAAGGAACTTTGTACTGGGGACTTACAGAAGAAAAAAAAAAGTAACTCAATTCCTCCCGGTGAGCTGGAGATGAAAATTCTGAGACAATGTCCTGGAGGGGGAAAAAAGAGAGAGATAAGGACTAAATGTCAGCTTCTTGGTGGATAGAGTTAGACTTGGAATACAAAAGACCCAGGCTTTAATTCTGCATTTGACACCATCTATGTGACTATGGAAACCTTATTTAACCTCTCTGAGCCTCAGTTTTCTCAGCTGTACATTAGGGATGACAATCCATGCTTTTGTACTTATGTCAAAGGGTTGTCATGTAGTTTGAATGACACAATGTATATAAAGTACTTTGCTAACCTAAAATATTTATATATTTATATATATATGTATATATAATGTATAGATATTCATGATTATTAATATTATTTTCCCATCTAAGTGTTACTTAATCCTGCAATGATAGGACACAGTAGAGAGATGGGTATATTTGAACAACTATTTCAGGGCCCAGAATTTTAGCAACAGGAAAGTTTGTCTTTGTGGGGCCTGCCATCATAATTGAGACACATTCTATGCTTTGGCTGGCCCTGATCTTTAAGATATGCTGCCTTCACAGCACCAAACAGAATTGACTGGCTTGTGTTACCTTTGGAAAAAGGAGAGACGGAAAACAATAGTTTGAAGGTATGAGAGGGTCAA